TTTATGACTTTATCCTGTTTTCTCCCTTCCAGAAAGTAAAAAAAAGTAGGTGGTGTGATTGCCTGGCTGTACAGGAACAAGTCTTACTTTTTATCGCTCTTCTCCGCTGGTTGCATGAGCCTAATATTTTTTTGTCTGGGTACCTCCAAGCTGGTTATGCGTAACATAGACTGTATAGCTGATGAAATGTTAAGACTAAAATGTGAGTGGGGGATCTAGCACACATTGGAGTTTGTTGATTTTATTCATTAGGTTTACTTGAGGGGCAAAATGCTGTTTGCTAGAAAAAACTTCCCTCTCGATCAGTATACTGGGGGCAAATGGAGGCAGAATTGGGCCAAATCCAACGTTTGTTGATATCCAAGGAATTTCCTACGCTATTACACGCTGCGGACCAACAAGTCTTGCTTGTGTGTGTGAAATGTTAATAGCCAATCTAAACAGTACTAAAGTTTTGCAGTTAGACTTATTCTGTATTAATTTGCCGTTTTTTGCGCTCCCCCTCCCAAACCGCATTTTTATTTACCATTAGATCTGTGACCTTTAATAGAGCCATAATCTATATTTCGAGTTTTTAATGAAGATTAAATATTTTTATATTAGTAAGTAGTAATTTTTCAACCAACCTATGTCTTGTTTTACTTATTATATTTGGGCTACTGCAGTAAAACTTGGGGACCCGCCGCATGGAGTGACTTCGCGCACAATTAACTTATTTGTCTATACCAAGAAATTCTATCAGATATACAATCTACTGTAGAAACATGACGCCCTTGAGTGATAACATTGAATTTCTGGTAAGGAACTATTGTGGGGTCCCCACAGTGCGCGCGAAGTGCGCTCGACTCCAATACGGGCACCTTGGTTTAGGAGGTAGAATGGGTTGGGCATATTTGGGGACGAATCAGAGAGCAATAATCATGTAAATTAAGAAAGTTACGAGTGTAAGTTGGGGGTGTTCGTTGACCTTGGGCGAGGTCGCTGAGGTACATTTTAATATCATCGCTAACCCCTGCTGGACCAACGGCGGGCGAGCAAAAATTGAAGATTGGAAATTCACCCTACTTAAAATTTGTAAGTAAGCGGTTATGCCCATAGTTAATTTGAAAAGTCAGTTTGCCTAATAAACTGACTTAAGCGGTTATTGTACACGTTGGCCTTCCGAGGAGCCCTCTACAGTTCAATATCGTCACCAATCCCTACTGGACCAACGGCAGGCGCGCGAAAAATTGGAAGATAGTGCAAATTCGTCCCTGCTTAAAATGTGTAAGCAAGCGGTTATTGTACATATTGGCCTTCCAGGCACCCCTCTATAGTTCCCTGCCAGATGTCTTATTAGTTCTAACTTTGTGGGCTACGCAGTGAACTTCTGGACAGTTTTCACCCAACACGACCCACAATAATAGGAGACAATAGATGACATGGGGCTGGATTGCTGTTGTTCTAATAAGGGTGTTTGTCCCCACGTAATCTGGCGGCTGGGGAGTGTCCAGCGTGCGCAGCAGAAGTTTTACTAAGCAGAGTGATATTCACTCGAACTGGTCACTGGTAGATAAACAAACAGGGTGACAGTTCGACTGTCGGTTTCGAGGTGGTCCGCTGTGTGCCCCATAACAGGGCGGCGCAGGGACGGCAACTTGAGCTTTAGTTAGCTATACGGTCCTACAAATATATGAGCATCGCCGATCTGGTAGTGGAACAATTAAGTTCCATTTCGCCCTGGAGCTCACACTTAGAGCCCGCGCAGGCGACTAGTGGGATAGGATGGAATGGTTCCGACAAAGCAAAGGGAAACCCAAATGGTCATTTCCGGCTTGTTAACTGTCATCAGCCAGTCATGCCCAGTCTCAAGGGTTTGAACCTCCGAGATTCGAGCCCGATCAGTCGAACTGGTCGCCAGTAGGTAAACAAACAAGGTAACAGTTCGACCGTCAGTTTCGATGAGATCCACCGTGTGCCCCGCAGCATGTTGGCGCAGGGACGGTGAATTACGCGTGAAGTAGTTTTAAGTGTTAGTAGACTGAAGCTAGATAACAGGAAAGATGGGAGAGGAAGAATAAAAAAGAGCAAGGAAAGGTAACATCTTAAGAGGGGGAGAGGGAAGATGAGGGTGGGCAAGGAGAGGGAATGAGGGGAAGATCTGTTATAACGAGTTCAGCGTCGCTAGTGTTATAACGATGACATCTGACGTGTGTCACCG